AGTCCAGAGGTCCTACAGACAATCCAGAGGTCCTACAGACAATCCAGTGGTCCTACGTCCAGTCCAGAGGTTTTACATCTAGTCCAGAGGTTTTACATCCAGTCCAGAGGTCCTACGTCCAGTCCAGAGGTTTTATATCCAGTCCAGAGGTTCCACCTCCAGTCCAGATGTTCCACATCCAGTCCAGAGGTTCCACATCCAGTCCAGAGGTTTTACATCCAGTCCAGAGGTCCTACATCCAGTCCAGAGGTCCTACAGACAGTCCAGAGGTTTTACATCCAGTCCAAAGGTTTTACATCCAGTCCAGAGGTTCCACATCCAGTCCAGAGGTTTCACATCCAGTCCAGAGGTTCTACATCCAGTCCAGATGTTCTACATCCAGTCCAGAGGTTTTACAGACAGTCCAGATGTTCTACATCCAGTCCAGAGGTTTTATATCCAGTCCAGAGGTTTTACAGACAGTCCAGAGGTCCTACAGACAATCCAGAGGTCCTACAGACAATCCAGAGGTCCTATATCCAGTCCAGTGGTTCCACCTCCAGTCCAGAGGTTTTACATCCAGTCCAGAGGTTCTACGTCCGACCTCAGTGGTTCCAGACCAGCAGAGGTTACCTGAGCTTTACATTAGATCCTCTGAAATGGAAGACTCTAAAAGGCCTTTTTCTGGACGTTTTCCTGCTTTTCTGTCTCTGATTTAATATCCTGTTAGTCTGCAGTAGATTTTTAAAGCTTCACTGGAGCTAAAATGATGAAGCTCTGTCTTTTTGGAGGAAGTGTCCTGGGTTTTTATCTCAGTTTGACAGAAAATGTCATCAAATTCTTCTGTGAGCATTCAGAGTGAAGGTTTCTGTTCTGGGTTTCATGTCCTGTTTCGAATAAGGAGTGTGAATGTGTTGACATGATAAGTTACCTCGGATAAAATGGTACATCAGTCTTTATTTTGCAGCGTTTTGCTGAAATTCCAGTGGCTCTGGACGCCGATGGGGGCTGAAAATGGAAAGCGTCTGGCAGAAGCCCTCTTATCGTCTCGGTCTCAGCTCAGAGTCTTATTTCCCCCCGCTGCTGGAAGCTGGCGGGGATTAGTGGCCTGATTAAAGCCGTCAGCTGTGGGGTCGATGCTCAATCTGACACCTCTCAGGATCAGACCTCATCACATCTCCAGCAGCTCGGATGAGAGTCGCATCCCAGTCGATGTCTGTCCTCTTTCAGCCCAAAATAGATGTCAGACAAAGGAAAAACCATCAGAAAGCACAAAGAGAAGCTGTCCCCAGCTGAATGCAGTCTTGAGCTGGTTTTGAGCCAGTCTGGAGCCGGGCCTAAACCCGGTCTGGAGCTGGGTCTGAACCCGGTCTGGAGCCGGTCTGGAGCCGGTCTGGAGCTGGTCTGGAGCTGGTCTTGAGCTGGGTCTAGAGCTGGTCAGGAGCCGGACCTGGAGTCGGGCCTGAACCCGGTCTGGAGCCGGGTCCGGAGCTGGTCTGGAGCTGGTCTGGAGCCGGTCTGGAGCTGGGCCTGAACCCCCTCTGGAGCCGGGCCTGAACCCCATCTAGAGCCGGGCCTGAACCCGGTCTGGAGCCGGGCCTGAACCCGGTCTGGAGCCGGGTCTAGAGCCGGTCTAGAGCCGGTCTGGAGCTCGTCTGGAGCCGGTCTGGAGCCGGTCTGGAGCATCCAGCTGTTTCTACATCCAGTCCAGTCAAAGGTTTTATGTCCAGTCCAGCCCCAGCTGGACGGGGCTTCTCCACCTCTGCTTGGATCTGTCTGCAGGGATCAGTGAGCCGTCTGAGTTCCTGACACTGAGACTGCTTTGTCCCCCAGCAGCTGCAGACAGACTGACGGCCGGCGGCCCGCGGGGAGCCGTCCAGAGCCCAGACAGCCAGGGCTGAATGAACAAGGCCCAGCGGCCCGATCTGGGTCCTGCCCCGGCTTTATGGCCCAGAGGGGCTTTATATCCCTGCCAGGCCGGTTCCAGCACAGCAGCCTTCAGCCGCACACAAGGAGGCTTTCAGCAAGTAAAGGGAGCCATCATATCAGCCGGAGGCTCAGGGCTTCCCCTGAAAAGATCGGGATTCTGACCTGATATGGTCTGGATTCAGCCTCTGATCTGATCTGGATTCAGCCCCTGAACTGATCTTGATTCTGATTTGATGTGGATCCTGATCTGATCTGGATTCTGATCTGATCTGGTCTGGATTCAGCACCTGAACTAATCTGGATTCTGATCTGATCTGGTCTGGATTCAGCCTCTGATCTGATCTGGATTCAGCCTCTTCTCTGATCTGGATTCTGATCT